GCTCTAGATGTGTGAGATGGGGGCTCAACAGCATCCTTGGGATTTGCTCTGGGTAACTCCCAGCGCTGTGGGCATCAGGGCCTGGGCAGGATCCTCATGGGATGGGAGATGCTCCAAATCAGAGCCCAAGGGGCAGAAAGGCAAAGGAGGAAAGCTCAGGACACATTTGTGAATCAAGCACCTTCCCTTGGTGGGAAAATGGGCAGGTTCCTCCCTGGATGGTGGCTGGGACACAGGCACAGCCAGGGCTCCAGAAACAGCCCTGGGGCTGCAGCCATCCCTGCAGGGACTGATGGGGCCATCACTGCCATCAGCTGCATCCCTCCCCTGGGAAAGGGCATGGGAAGTTTTCCTTCAATGTTCTGTTGAACTGACCCTGGATGGACATCAGGGTCCCACCAAAGCCACCGTGTCACCCTCAGCTGAGCAGTGGGGAGGATACAGGGAAAGGCTTGTGGGTTGGGATAAGGACAGGGAGAGGACACTCAGCACTTACTGTCACGGGCAAAACAGATTCAACCTGGGGAAAAAATAATTAATTAAATTTACTGCCAATCAAATCAGAATAGGACAATGAGAAATAAAAACTGAATCTTTAAACACCTTCACTCCACTTCTTCCTTCTTCCCAGTCTTAACTTCACCCCTGATTTTCTCTCCCTCCTCCTCCAGCTGTGCTTTTGCAGGGTTTTTTCCCCTTCTAAAAACCACTGTCCTGAGGCACTGCCAGCACTGCCCATGGGCTCAGCCTTGCCCAGCAGTGGGTCCCTCTTGGAGCCACTGCCATTGGCTCCACTGGGCACAGGGAAGCTTCCAGCAGCTTCTCACAGAAGCCAGCCCTGTAGCCTCCCACTTCCAAAACCCTGCCACACAAACCCAGCAGGGCTGGTGACTTCCCATCATGCAGTGATGCAGTTTTCCACCATGATTCAGCCTGAGCAGCTCAAAGGTTAACTTTTTCTGTGCTTTGAGCATTTTCTGTTCACTTACTCCAGCTTTAGAGCATCCCACCATCATCACTGGGGAAATCACTGTGTCTGCAGAATGGGGCTACTGCCTCCATCCCCTTCTGCAGCACCACTTCCAGGCAGGGATCCTCCCACCACCACTCATCCCAGAGCAGCGGGATCTCCCTGGGCACCCTGGGGAGGACTCACCATCCATGGAGGACAGGGATGCAGCGCTGCAGCCAGGGCTCCCTCATCTGCTCTCCAGCACGAGTAGGGCAGGTAGGAAATGGCACAGCTCCACGGGCAAATCCCTCACAAAGGCCTTTCTGAGTCAGGGGCTTCATCTCCCTCCATCTGGGGCCTGTCGGAATTAGACAAACAGGTCACTCTCAGGGTGGCTGCTCCTGGACTCATCACAGGATGCTTATCAAGCATCTGATGGCAAGTTGCTGTTTGAGTTAAAAAAATCCCTATTAGTTATTACAAAACTCCAAAGTTTCCCAGCTCAGTTGTCTCTCAGTGTGATTTCCTGGGGTAGCACTGGGGGGTTGATGGAGTCCATCAGCCAAAGGCTCAGGCTGTTCCCTGAGCAGGGCAGGATGGATGGGGCAGCCTCCAGCTCCCTGAGATGCTGCAGCTGGAGCAGAGCCAGAAACCACTTCCCCAGCACTGACACCACAGGACCTCCCTCGGCAGCTCTCTGTCCCTTGTCCACATCCTCACAGGGGGCCACACTGTTTTGGGGTCCTGCCTGCTCAGGAGGGCCCCCAGCTCTCCACAGCCCCCCCGGGGTGATGCCCTGCTCCTGCCCAGGTGGGTTTTGTCTCCACATGGCTCTGCCAACTTTTTGTTCCTCCCTGGGTTAAGAAACCCAGGGACAGAAATCATTATGCAGATGAAGGATGCTTTGCCTGATCTGGAGATATTCAAATGAAATGTGGTGGAAGGACTAACAGGACACTTAGAGGAAAAGAAAAAGCAAAGCTCCATTACTAGAGTGCAGTGGGCTCCCCAGTTCAGCCACTTCCAGCTCGTGGTGTAGAGAAAGCCTTGGGATATGGAGAAATGGAGAATCCCCAGAGCAGGCACGTTTACACACTCCTGTGTGTGACCTGACTCCTACCACCGTTATCTCTCTGTGGAAATTTCCTACATTGAAACATCATGCAAGATCAGAAGAAAATTTTGACTTGCACAAATTGTTGTCCTAATTGGGAGCAACTTTGGAAAGTGCAGATAAGGGAAAAATAAATTTTTCCTTCTGATTCAGCAATCTTTACAGCCATAAATTGAGGTGCTCCCTCCAGAAATGCACACACAGGTACAGAGGACCAAAATATCCAGAGCCTGTGAGCTGAGCCAGTGCAGGCCATGAGCATCCTGGCCCGGGTGCTGCTGCCCTTCCTGGCGCTGCTGGCCTGCCAGGGTGACGTGGTCAGTCCCTGGACACACACGCTGCGGACAAACATGCTGAGGGAGAGCATCAGGCGGCTGCACCAGCTCCAGCACACACAGGTAGGGCTGGCTGGGGCTTTACCTGAGGGAAGGAACAGGCTGTTTCAGCAGCCTCGGGGAGAGCTGAGTCAGAGGGAGGTGCTGAGCACAGGGCTCCGTGCTGGGAAGGTGTCTGTGCAGCCACGTGCCAGGATGGGCCCGGGCAGCGCTGCCTCCAGCCTGACTGCTCCTCTCCCTTGTGTCTCGGTAAAGGTTTCCTGTAACGAGATGAACGTGACCGATATTTTTGCAGACAGTAAGGTAAGAAAGAAAAACTAACTTGTCCCTGTTCAAAAATAGTCATACAACCCTGATGGGTACGGGGAGAGGATGCTGGGGGCAGAGGGGAGCACAGGGCACCCAGAGGCAGGTGGGAAGCCCGGGATCCCCCCTGTTCTGCTGTGGTGCTGTGGAGGAGCAAGGAGCCCACTGTGGGCTGCCCAGCTGGACCTCACCCTCACCTTCCCAAACCACCTCTACCTCCAGCCAAAGTAGCACCAGCAGCTTCTGCCTGCCCTGGGGACAGGGGGAGGGATGGGCCTGTGCTCGAGCAGGCTGGGGGGTTTCAGCTTTTCCAGAAGGAAGAGAGGGCCATGTCCCTGTGCCTCGCAGTGCTGTCCCTGCTCAGCCCCCCCAGTGCTGTCCCTGCTCAGCCCCCCCAGTGCTGTCCCTGCTCAGCCCCCCATGCCCATCCCGGCCCCAGAGCGCTGGTTACACCCGCTGTCCCTCCTGAGCCCCTTATCTGGGGATGGCTCTCCAGTCAGCACAAGCCTTAACAGCAGAGCCTCTTTCTGCTCTGAAAACTGCTGCCTAAGCCCAGCTCCCGGCCCCAGAGTTCCTGTTGTCACAGAAAGCCCACGGGCTCACCTGGTGCTGTGCCGGCGGGTGGGATTTGAGGGGTGCAGCAGCCTTCCCTGGGGGGCTGGGGCTGAGCAGCCCTGGGGGGGTCCCCACACTCCTCCTGCCACAGGGACTGGCCCTGGGAGCGAGGAGAGGTGCCCGAAATGCTGCACAGCCCCACGTTCCCAGAGCTGTCGCTGGTTTGAAGCTGCTGTTGGGGTGAGGGCCGAGAGGATGGAGCAGGCAGAGCTCTCGGGGACCTGTCCGTGAGGGGGCACTGCGAACACCCCAGGGAAGAAAGTCAAGTATTTTTCTTAGCTCCTCATCTTCCACGTGTCTCTGCTGCAGGACTTCTCAAAGCCCCTAATGAATGCAACCTCTTCCCAGGCACTTTAGTTATTCCTGTAGCACCTCTGCCTGCCCAAACCAGCTTCACTCCCAGGGAACTCCCAGGGAGCAGCTCCCCGAGCTCAGGATCCCACACCCACACCACGAGCAGGATGCTCCAGCACAGGGGTGGTCACTGCTGTGCCACCCTCTGCCATGGCCTCTGCCAGGGGTTGATGGCACTCCCAGCAGGACAGGGACAGGAAGCTTCAGGGAGGCTTTGGTATCTCAAACTGCACTCTGCACCTGCAGAACAGAAATATATCATTTGCAGGGTGGGGGTTATTGGGTTTTTAACACTAATGAAGCCGTGGCTGTACTGAGGAGTTTCGCTCTCCCCAGCACGGTGACACCATGGAGCTCCTGTGCAAAGCTGCCACCGTGGCTCGGGAAGGCTGGAGCTGCCACAGGCACCTCGAGGGCATCTACACCAACCTGCTGGGCCTGCTCCGGGGGCACAGGCTGGAGCACCAGGTGAGGCACAGCTCCCACCCTCCAGCTCCTCCCTCCCTCACTGCTTTTGTTTTGCTCTCCCACCAACCTTTAAGGGCCCAGCCCAGGCTGCAGAACCCAATCCCTCCCCAGCAATCCCTTCCTAACATTCCCTTCCTCCCATTCCAGGCACCCTGTCCTGTGGCAGCAGGTAGCACCACCTCACTCAGGAGTTTCCTCAAGGAATTGCACCAAGTCCTTCAAGAAAAATACAAGAATCAGAAGTGAAAAAACACAATTTGTTTGTTTTTAAACTATATGAGTCTATTTTTCAAAGATTATTTATAATAATTCTTTAAATAAATGTATTTTTGGACTAAGTTTCTTGGCATTGCATAGGATGATACACAAGGCAACAGTTAAGAGAGTTCCAAGTTCACAGGCACTGGGGTGGTGCTGTAAGGGGTTGTCCTGCTATGGGATTAAGGCTCATGCTAACATGAGGAACACAGGTCTAAGCAGAGGGGAGAAGCCAGGCCACAAATGGGACCTGCTCTGGAAGCTGTGAACCCAGAAAGATGCCAGGTCTGGAGCCAAGCAAGCCCTCAGCTCTCCCTTCCCTTCACCTGTAGCCTTTATTATAACCCTACATTTATATATATGGGATTTACAGAGGGCACAGCCCACTGTGGCCCAGCAGTACAGAAGCTCCAGCAGCAACAGCAGTGAAATGGCAGTGGGGAACCAAACCCCTGCCTTGGGGAGCATTCCAGCCTGGGCACACCTGGGCAGTGGTTCCAGTTCCTCCAGCACCAGAGACTGGAGCTCCTGACACAGCTGAGTTAGAAAGATGCTGTGTGTATAACGTCATCAGAAAAACCATGCACAGAGGTGGAACTAGGAACCAAGAATTTTATTTCATGGTATGAACATGCTCCAGGGGCACAATACTGATTATTTACAGTATAATGAATTAACTTTAAACACAAAGAATAATCAAAAATAAACCGTTAGAAAACCAATAAATAGGAAGACAAGTTCTACAGACTAGCAGGTTTTCCCTCTATACAGGCCTGGCTAAGCAGAACTGTGGAGAAAGGTGAAAGCTGGACATGTGCAGACAGTGTAGTCAGTGAAAGGCACTAAGGACCGTTTCTCCTCCTCTTAAAGGATCAGGAACAAGTTAAATATGAAATAATTAATTTACACAACATTAAACAACACAAAGCAGAAACCTCAATGTTAAAGTCAATGTCCTGGAATGAGGGAAATCTTCTGGTAGCAAGATGCAAAGATGAGCACACAGTAATTTATGTAATATGAGTTTTGATAAATACTATAGAGCATGTACTGACCTGGGATGGCAATGGTTGTATTAAGCTCTTAAAAAACCCCATACAAACCAAATCCCTTCCTCATTAAAACACATTATGGGCCCATCAGACATTCACAGATGGCCCAGGGCTACAGAGAAGGCCCAAGTGGTAAACCTGCCAGCCAGACTCCTTGGTTTTACAGGAAACTTCTTCCCAGAACTTCTACACACCAGTTAAAAGGGAAGCCAAGCTGATAGAGCACACGACCATGACAGAATTCCACTTTAAATAAAGTCCTCTTAAAGAGCAGACAATTTGTTCTCCAAGCCTTTGTAACAGGAGATAACAACCAGTTTCTCCAATTTGCCAATTAAAGGTGTGCAAGCAATTATTTATTGTTTTCTCTGCCTCAAGGCTCACTTAAATATGCAGAGTACTATTGTTTTTAGCAGCAGGACTGTAACATTAACTGTAAAGCCTATGCCCTTATAGTTAAGTTTTAAATATTTTAAATGCAATGCCATGGTCCACAGTGGTATCTTGAAGCCTCTGTCAGGTACAAGAACTTTCAACTGTGTTTTTGAAAGCACAGTTCAGGAGAAACTCCCTCAAAAAACAGATCATTCAGTAAATGTTAGTACAAGATGTAACAAAAAGGAAATCCACATTGTCCCTGGTCCTGAGAACCAGGACAGGTCACAGCTGTGCATTTATCTGCTTGGACTCAGAACTGACAGGAGACTTCAAAGAGCATTGAAGCAATTTCAGTCTGTTTTGTTTGATGAGGATGAAACACAAGGTAACCCAACTCTATCCAAGCATGTTCACAATACAGCCAGCTCTTCACAAGCAAGACCAACTGCAGCTCAGAGCAAGGAGGACTGAGCATTTACCTCCAGGTGCTGGGCTAGAGAAAACAAATGCCCGTGTTTGTATCTGCATGTTGTATGAACTTACCTGGCACCTCCTCCCCCAAAAGAGAGCAGTATGTTCTTCTAGGTCATGATCCCAAAAAAACACATGAAAAAACCAGGGAAAAACTTCCAACTCGTTTAGAATAGCACTGAATATATAATTCAGAGTAAAATATGCCCTTCCAAGACCAGTTTTAACTACTACAGACCCTGTCACAGACCTGTTACAGAGCCCCACAGCATCAGTAAGAAAGGGCTTTGAACTCCTCTCAGTACTTCACAAGAACACTGGTAACTGCAGAGCAAGGGCTCAGGGCACCTGAGGAGCTGCCTTGTGCTCTGTCACACTGAAGGATTCCACTCCTCCTGTCAGCAATCACAGTTTTCATCCTCCAGGTAACCCTAAGATTGCAGGGAGGTCACAGTTCCTTCCCCCCTCATGGCACAGGAGCTGCTGAGGTGCCCACGAGCTGATGTGATGAGTTACAAAGCACCCACAGTCCAAAGGAGATGCATTTTCTCTGTGACACAAAAGCAATGTATCAAAGTGATATGTGTCTATTAGCAGCATAAATATCAAAGAAAAAGAGCAGCCATCACAAACAAATGGTTATTAGCAGAGACCAGAATTTTTCTCCTCTCATCAGAGCACAGCCAGAGACCCAGCACAGCCTACACAGGAGCACAGCAGCTGTTCCAGGGGGTTACTGTTCTGGGAAAACTGGGCAGTTCGTTCTGTTTGACTGCAGAGGAGTCCAATTCACCTTCAGTGTAGAGCACTGGCCTAGAGCCTTGTAGGGATGAAAGACTGGAGTCACAGTGCTCACAGCCCCTCTGCTGCCACCCAGTCCTGGGGTTACAGCACCCCTGAAACCCCCTCTGCTGCTCAGATTACAAAACTGCTCACACACGTATTAAAATTCCAGCCCCCAAGCACAAGAAGCAGCCAAAGCAACGCTGCAACACAGCCTTAAAAGAAGGAAAAAAGCTCTTTTTGCCTTCATATCCAAGGTCTCATTCTCCACAGTGCCAGCAGATCCCACACAAACTGATAAAAATACAAGCATTATTAGACACACTTGATTTCTGCTCCACTTCAGCAGAGCATGGTCCCTTCTCAGATGTCTCAGACTTTTATAGTTCATGTTTTTCCTATCCAGTTACTTCCTCTGTACAGCGAGACGGCAAAAGAGGACTGTGTATTTGACACACAACACTATCAGGTTAACAGCCACAGTGAGGAATTACTAAATAAAAAGATGTGATGCTCTTAAAGGTTTGCAGCAACCACATTCAAACACAGATCAGTGCAACAGGGGACAACAGTGAAAGCTGCCAGTTATGTGCAAAGCATAAGTCAGATCTACCAGCCTTAGTTTTAGGATTTCATTAACTGTTTAGAACTAACACGTCTAGCACTTAAACACACATCTAGAACCCTTATTTCTATACATTTCAACAAGGACTGCCAACAAGTTTCCCTGCACAACACGTTTAATACATGGAATTTCACAACCATCATATATACCAGTTTAATATTATGTTAATATAACATACAATATACAGGCAACTAAGGAAAAATACATTATTTTAAATAAAAAAGTATAGCCATGTTAAACTGTGCCATCTCTTGAATTCCATGTCCTGGCCAAACCATACAGACTCACTGACTTTTACAGGAATTCTGACCAGGTCACACTACTGCAGCAGGGAGTCAATGACAGCTCCTGGCTTGGCCGAACGTTTTCTGTTTGGAGAGCAGAAAGGAAAGGGAAAAACAACACCACACACACATCATTATGCTGGCTAGGAAAGACAGGGACCAGCCACATTTCAAGTCAAAAACTACAGTGTTACTCTTCCACAAGCAAAACCAACCAAACACAAGTGACGGAGGAAGGCCAGGCTGAGATCTCTCCTCTCCAGCAACACCAGTCTGCACTGCCAGCCTGGGTTACACTGAAACACAGGCACAGACAGCAAGCAGCTGCAGGAGGGGAATGCAGCAACACAGCATCGGAAAAATCCCCAGACAAGTCTTTCTGGACAAGATTTACTGCAGTAAAGAGACCTCAGCTTGGTTCTTGTCACACCAGTAAACTACACCATGCAAAATTTTAGTACTTTGCCTTCTCATTAAGCAAATGTTTGAAGACTTGTGGTAAGTTTGCATAAACAAATGTAAGCCTTCCCCTGGGTAAATCCCTCATTACATTCAGATACCCCAGAGTTCTTCACCTTCTACCCGTCTTGGGCCTGGATCTTCCTTTCGAAGTCCTCGGCCTCTCCAGCTTCATCAGGGACTGCCTCAAGCTTTCTTCAGTGTAAGCTAAGTAAACATGGGAAAGGTCCACTTCAAAGGGCTAGAAAAACACCAAAGAAACCCACAAGACAAGAATATCAGGATCATTTTATACACTGATCAGTGCTGCTTCTCTAACACTAGAAAGACTCCTCTCTTCAAAAGAAAAGCCAACTGAACAGCCTGGCTGTAAACAGTGAGCGGCAGGCACAGGCAGCAGGACTTGGACCTGTGCAGTTCAATACATCAGTGCAAGAGCAACTCACATCTTTCTCTTTTTTATCCAGGACGGGTGTCTGTTTCCTCATATTGTTTCCTGTATATGCAACACATTTCTGTAAGAGGAAAGAAAGGTCTGTTAGGAAAGTCTACTGTGCACAGTAAAACCGACTGCAGCTTAATCAGCTTCTTGCTGGGCTCGGTTCAGCCCCTCAGAGCTCATGGTAACATCAGCTGGCACACAGCCACTCTTACCAGCTGCCACTCTCCTATGTCTTCGTTCCAGTGAACGTAGTTTTCAATCATTTCCTAGAAAGAAATCCAGACAGTAGTTGTTAGACTTGCACAATCCACCCTCTAGGTGCACTTTCCAGAACATGCATCTCTAAGGCCTGCACAAGCTGCTTAAGAACAGTCTTAACCATTCCACGTTGTTTTTATCAGGACAGCTACATCATGTGCAAAAAACCCCTATTTATTTATACTCTGAAGACTACAGAAGACAAAATACCACTCCCAATCTGTATGTATTGGAGAGCCCACCAAAGCCTGGTGTCCCCACTATGCCAAAACCATCAGGACAGCAATAAACACACATTGTAACATAAGAAAAAAATTAGGAGGAACTTTTTTTATATTTTATATTAGTGTGCATTATATTTAAGCTTATGATTTCCCTGTATATTGGAGTCTAAGAAAACAAGGGGTGAAGAGCTCCACATTCAGTTTTACTGCTTTGTGTTGTATCAGACATCAGCAAGCACAACTTCAAGCACAGTGAAAAAAGCTTTTGAACAGACCCAGGACATGGGCACGCAGTGCACCAGTAAATACATGGTGAAAGTGATGTTATTATTTTTTTAAATCACAAGGAAAATAGGCTGCAGGAGAACAGAGATCAGCACAGTCCCTGTGCCAGGCTCAGGTGCTTTGCCTTCACCTGGTAGTCCGGAGGAATGAAGTTGTCTATGATGAGCATCTGCAGACGGAGCTCCCTGCTCAGCTGCCGAATGTTCTCCAGCAACCCTTCGATCTCCCTCTGATGCTCTTGTTGCAGATCTGCCATCTGAAAACAAACCAGGCATTTCAGAGGCATCAGTTAGCTAAAGACATGGTAACAGCCTAAAACACAACAGTCCTCAGTCTGTACAAGGATTTTGGGAAACAAAAGCAAGCTCTGGTTATAAGTACTAGAATATTTATCTCTGAAGGATAAACCCTCTGAAACATTCCAGCTTGGAGAGGGCTGAAAATAGCATTAAGTTCTCAGTTTCATAAACCCAAAACTGGCCTCCTGCCAATCCAAGCTCCAGCTACCAGCAGATGAAAAGCATGCAGACAAGTTCTATCCCTGGTGAGGTTTCAAGGAAAATCTCTGATCTCCAAGACCAAATGCATTTTTCACAGAACAGGAACCCCAGCCACTAGCCAGAGGACACATTCATCCAGTGACTGAGGAAGGACAGACAGCTCAGAGCAGAGGAATCTTTAGGCTGCAGCAAAGCAGGAGATGGTGCTGTCAGCAAACAATTTCAAACAATAAAATTGTATTTTATTTCAGAAATAACTAAAGGTTTTCTCTGAAGTTCTGGATATCTCAGGGTCTCACGCAACCCTTCTCACCCTGGCCTGGGGAAGAGCTCTACAACATGCCACTCCAGCACCAGACTTCACTAGATATTTCTGAATTATGTGACCCAAATGGAGAGCATAGAGAGACATTTCTAAATATATGGCACTTTTCCCAGCATTACAAAGCTGATGGTTTACCCTTCCCAGCTCCAGTCCCTCAGGGATCACTGGTTGAGAACTTCAGACACTAACCTCTGATTTTGCAGCCATGAGCATGGTCCAGACTTTCTTCAGCTTTTTGGTTTTCCCCTGTGCTTCCTCCTGGAGGTTGGTGTACTTCTCCTCAATGTCCAAGCGCTCTTGCTGCGTGCAACATTTAGCACAGACACCCACACATTAACACAACCAAAGAAACTCTCTGCAACAGCACCAACAAAAGGAGAAACTACCTGAACAAACCAAGCCTTTGCCAGGAGCACAGAGCCCTGGCTCAGCCCCACGGTGGTCGCAGAGGCCTCTGCAGGGCTGTGTGTGCAGAGCAGAGCCATGCCAAGGGACAGCCAGGGGTGCCCTGCCCTGCTGTGTGCAGGCAGCACAGCACAGAGCCCACCTCCTTCTCCTCCAGCTCCTTGCGCAGCTGCTCTGCTCTCTTCCTTCGTTCCTCCAGTTCCATGTTGGATTCTTCCAGCAGCTTTTCTTGCTCCTCTGCTTTTGCCAGCAAGTCCACTCCTCCCACGATAACCTTCTTCTCCAGTGCAGAGAGTTTCTCCAGCAGGGACTGGTGCTCCTGCCTAGACAGACAAGTAGGTGTGAGACTTCCTGCACTCCAGTGCTCACCAGGCAGCAGGTCCAGCTTGGTTTTATAGCCCAGACAGCACTCACAGGGCTGGAAAAACTTGTCTTGCCGTTTAGGGTTTAAGTGGGGGTGAGGCAGTGCAAGGGAGCACAGGGAGTTCCCCAAGCCCCAGCTCCCATGGCTTTCCCTCAAGCAAAACCAGGTCAGCAGAGAAGTGTGTCCTGCTGTGCAACAGCTCTGGGGGGCTGCAAGGCTCTGGGGACATCCCCAGGCCACTCAAGGCACCCCTGCCCAAAAGGACCCTGCCAGCACAGCAGTGCCCTGAGCGAGCTGCTGAAATGGAGGGGAGTGGACAGACACCAAGGCAGAGCAGCTGAGATGCAAAGCAGGAGTGCTGGAGCAGCCCCTGGGCAGCAGGACCCTCCTGTCTGCTGGGGCAGTGTGACCTCAGCAGCTCTTCGGCCTCGAGGGGAGGAGCCCTGCACCCCAGATGATGTGCCTGTCACTGTGCTGCAGGAAAGCTGGCCTGCTACACAGCACTACTGCTGCTCCTCACAGGGCCTGCCTGATTCATTTCTCTTTCTGGGCTACCTTGCACAACTGGGTGAAGTTAAGAAAACAAAAAAGTGGCTAAAGGGTAAGTTTGTCTTTTCCTTCTCTAAACTCTGAAAGCAGAGCAAGCTCCACTTTCACCCTGACAGTAGCAAGGGATGATGTTCCCTTTCTACAGGGTTTGACAGACACTTCACCACACATCTCCAGATATTCAAATGATTAAGGAAGGAAAAATCCACACAACCACACAAACTGCCGAGAGCACAGTACTCACTGAGCTTTAAGCAAGTCTTTTTCTCTCTTCTCCAGTTCAGCTCTGGCTTTATTTCTTTCTTCTTCTTCCATATCAAGCTTAGTTTCAAGAGCTTTTCTCTCCTCTTCAATCTTTGCTTGCATCTCTACCATCTTATCAGGGGAAACTTTCTTTTTGCCTTTTGGAAGAGATGAAGAAAACCAATTAGTTCACCAAAAATAAGACAGCCTCTGTATAAGAGCATTTTTTCCAAGTTCAGATTCAATACTGGCATTTAACAAAATCTTGATTGGATTAGATTGTGATGGGCACGACTCAGTCTTTCAAACCCCATTTTAGCATTGACCAGTTGTCACCAGTTCCTACAGAGAAGCAATGCTACATAACTAACACTGGAACATAATGCCCCCAAACCAGAAAACATAAGAACACCTGGAGAAGGAGCACTGCCTGAAGAGAAGCCTGAGCTGGAAACTCAGGTGTTCTAACAGTGCAGATTAGGCCAGAGGAAGGAAAACAGAAGACTGCCTTGACCTACAAGAGCTCAGCTACCAAGAGTCACATACTCAAATTTCAGATTAGCATCTCCACCACTCCCCTTGGTCACTGCCCTCCTTACAGGCTTACCTGAGCCAAAGTGGGCACTGAGATATTTTTAAGAACACATTACTGTGAAAATAGAGAGACCAGAGACTCAGAACAGCCCTATGAAAACCAGTCAATTAAAAGAAACTCTTGCTGGTATTTGTTTATGGCACAGTGACCACTCACAGACTGGAAAGTATCAAGGCTTGCTGTGCCTTGTCAGCTGTGTGTTTACAACAGTCCTACAGCAGCACACATGGGCCATTTCATACAGGTAACAGAGGCAGTGGCCAGAGCAACTCACTGCACCCACTGGCCTCAAGAGTCATCCCAAACACACCAGTTTGGAACAAAGTGTGGGGCTGCTGCTCTTGAAGTCACTCTGTGAGTCCTGAGCCAACTGTCCCTGTAACCCCAGGAGTGCTTGAGGAAGGTGAACAGAGATCCTGGGGGGTTATGTGGAGTGACAATGCTCAGCCTACATGCATTTCCTCAGATCCACAAGTCCTAAATCTCTCTTTATTCACAGATGAATCCTTCATTTTTCTGCTTTGCTCTTCTCCAGACATGCAAAAGCCCACCCTGTAGAACCCAGCTGCCCTGAAGCTGAAAGGGGTCCCTGACTGCCACAGGACTGGTTTTCACAGTCACGCAGGGCACACATGGCTGGAACCTGCTCAAGGCAGCTGTGCAGCAAAAGGCTTCTCTCCCTTCAGCCTGCATAGCATTCTGCTTCATTTATCCACAGACATGATATGCATTTTATTTACATTTCCATTACATTAAATACATACACAGTCCAGCAGATAGGACGCAGTGCCCATGTGCACACACATGCACACACCTGGACACGTGTCTGTTCGTGTGCACAGGAGCATTAATTCCTGTCATGGCAAGGTAAGGGCTTTGGCACTACAGCAAACCATTTCCATCTGCTACACTTTAGAATCAGATAATAAACACTTCTTTCCGGGTTTGTGGTGCAAAAATCTCACTAACTAGTCCTTGAGTAAGGAGCTTTCTGGAAGTGCTGCTCAGAGCTCATCATAAGAGATAAGCCAGATAAAGCTCCTTACTGTTAGGACGTAGCCCTATATATTCTCAGTTCAGGAGAAAATGGGAACTGAAGCAAGTTGTATGATCCTTTCACAAGCTCTGCAATTGTACTGTAAGGAGGTGAAAATCAATTACACCAACCTGCTTGATCTTGCATTAAGAGGAAGCAGAAAGCAAATCGCAGAGAGGCAGCAAACATGAAAAGAGGAGGAAAGAAAACATGTTATTGCTTTGATCATTTTGGACAAAGATCATTAGCACCAGAACAAACATTAACTTTGTATGCATGTTTCTAGACTAGGAAACACAGGATAATCATTACTGAAAACCCCTCCATTGGAGCAAACACTAATGTCTCATGTTCTTATGCTAAAGCAGAGGGGGTCTGTGTACTTTAGATTGCTCTGCATATCCAGGATAACGCTCAGCTCACTGGCATTCCTCTGCTCATTGAGTGCAGTGCTGATCCATCACCCCACTGCAGCCTGCCGCAAGGATCATGCCCTGAGAAACAGTCCAAGGGGGCAGACTCTCCTTCCATCACAAACTCAGCTCCTCCCCCACTCAGGAGAGCCAGGTCTGTCATGTTACCTGGAAAATGTCAGCTTACAGAACACACGTTCTGAGTTTTAACCAAGTTTCCAAGCCAATTCTTTGCAAGGTACACGAACAGTTGCACACAGGGAGTCTCAGCACAAGATTTCTCCATTTGGTTACACAGGGAATTAGTAGGTTAATTTGCAGTAACTGGTGCTTCCATAGAGGTACAGAGCCACTTGTTACTCAGGCAAGTGCAGCAAAAAAGGCCGGGCAGGAGAGGGATAATGAAAGACACCACATGCAGAAGGGTCACACCTGAGGACAGTTAATATCCCAAACCACAAAAAGCCACGCTTATCCCAATGGCCAAAAGCCCAGCACACCTTCCCCAACAGAGCAGTCTCCAAACCTGCAGGGGATGGGCTCATCCATCTGCTGACACACCAGCAGTTTGCTATTAACTGTCCTCATCCAAATAAAACACTCTGGTTCCAAGCAAGCTTTGAGAGAGCAAGACTGAAGCAAGCAGGACCCCAGGCTACCATCACATGACCCACCTGTCCCTGCAGGTGTGTTCCTGCTAAACCTGCTGCCATCCTTCTCTGAGCTGATGCTTCCCACTATCATCACCAGTAAAAACGTGAGTGAACTGTGCAGCAACACCTTCCACACTCTCTCCACACAGGGTGGAGAGTGGACTGCATCCATCCAGGATAGCCACAACAGTGGCTGAAGTCCCCACAAGCCGAGCCCTGAGATGTCATTTGTTTCCCCAGTCTTCACCGACTGTAGGGTTTCTACAGGCACAGAGGCCTCTCTGACCAGGAGCAGCCCAGACTTTCCCCATCACCAGACCAAAATTTGGATCTCTTGTTCCTCTGAACTCTCGGAACAGAGATCAAGAACTTGGTATCATGGGGCAGTTAAACCCCCAACCACCAAGGATATTTTTTTAAGTATCTGCAAAAATACAGCAAATCAACCAAGTGTTGCCACATTTTCTTTGCAAGTATAAACTTTGTGCTGTTTATCCTAACTGCTCCACTCATTTTCTCCATAACTAATTTTGAGAAGGCAGAGTCCAATATAACTTAGCACAGCCCATTTCACATGTCTAGCTGTCCTTTTGATGAACTCATATTGTAGTAATTCCCATTAAAAAGCTAGCTTGGATTTTTTTCCCATGTTCTAGAAGGCACATTTAATAGAAGTTGCAAACTGGGTTTTTTAAACTTACTACTTCTCTTTTGTCTTTAAATCTTGCTCAGGCAGCTTCCTATTCTGTCACATGCCTGGCTAACAGTGTGCACACTGAGTAACTGTTTCAAGCATGGAAGCAGCAAAGGAAAAGCATGCTTTAGCAGAGTTACAGCCTCAGGTTTATCTTTCCAACAGACAAAGCAGGGACAGTGCAACATTGCAGAATGGAGTGTGCAGATTATGGAAAGGCCAAAGCTTAAAGGACTTAAGAGCTCCCACTCACTAGTGAAGGACTTATCCAGAGGTTTCTCTATGACAGAGCATGTGGAGTCTGAACTACTGCTGCTGCTACTGCCTGGAAAACAGAAATGCGTCCCACAGAAACACCCAGAGAGGAAGAGACATGCAGATGGGAAGTTAGTTCTAAAGGAAAGAAACCCAGAAGAGCCAGCAACCTAGTCCAAAAAAAGCACAAGTTCCCATTAGGAAGCATTTGCTAGGATCCCTCCCAGACTCAGCTTGCAAAGCCACCACTTCCCAGCACAAAACTGCATGCTCAGAAAGACACTTCAGTTAGAACCCATCTTAACCAGACTACAGCTTAAAACCACATGCCAAGGCAGCTTCCATTTCAAGCAACAACAGCAGAGAACACCAGATCACAGTGGAGAAGGCTGTGGATATCTGCCATAGCAGAGGATTCTGGGACCAGGAATCCTTTCCAGTCTTATGTACATGGCAATGTGCACTTCTCCCTCTGGAAAGCAGACTCAGCTCACACAGGGACAGTCACTGCACACTCCTGCTGAGCAGCTCCCTTAGAAAACTTAACTAGAGCAGCTTGTCTGGGAGTTGAGTCAGTCAGTTATTTGCCCTCTACTCCTTTCTGAAGGTGGTCTCCTCTTGGGAGGGGATTTGGGCACGACTTGGTTCTTGGACACAATGGTCAATCTGTTCACTTCTAGAAATAACCACAAGGTGAAAAATTAAGTAGAAGTTGTTACAACTATCACCAAAGGCACGACAAAGTTCATTTATGACTGCTTGGACAGACATCAAAATGCAGAGAGTGCATCTAAAAGCAGGAATGCTTTAAGAGGAATTTTTTCAGCAGATGTGGGTGCCTCGGGACAGGAAGGCAGTTTGCCAAAATGAGTGTACCAGAGAAACTGCAATTTGAGGTGTAGCACTGGGCTTGACTTCTCTCTGCCTGTGAGGAATCATCAGCCAGGTTCCAGGAGCACAGCAAGCTCCCAGGAAGCCACAGCATGCCATGGTACACAGTGACCTGCAGTTCCAGGTTCAGCCACTCCCCTGGGAATTCAGATTTTTTACAGCAGTTTAACACTGATGTAGGGCCAAGACTTCAGCATGGGATTTCCAGAGTGCTCCCAGACAAGGGATGTGCAGCTCCTTTCTCGGCTACCAGGAAGACACCCAAACACTACGTTTTCCCTCTACCAATATAAAATAGGACACCAGCAGAGTCAGTTACTGAAGTTACTGTCCATAAGACAGATGAATCCTTTGCCTAAACCACAGCCAAAATTCCCCTCCAACCATACCCATGGTTATAAAAACCACATCTGCCTACAAATGATCTCTGGTGTCTCCTTCCTCCCACCCCTGCGAGCAGGGGAAGTTCCACACCGCCAGTCACAAGCCATCCACAGCCACCTTGCGGCCACCAGGGAGCCACCACAAAGGAGGATGTCACCACAAGCACAGCCACCCGAGTGGAAGCAGATACTACACAGGTTTGGAGCTGTCCATCTGCAGAGGGGGCACCAAAGGGCTCGGTTTCTAGGACAGGCATGATAATTGCAGCGGCACAGGGCAGCCCTACAAGTGCACTGGTCCCTGCCTGCCTCTGCCTACAGTTCCTACACCAGCTCCTGGAGCAGAGCAGACTGGGGGCACTGGCAGGAGTCTCTGCAGCCTTACCCCGCCGTTTCTTCCGCTTCTCCCCGTCCTCTCCAATCTCCCCATCGTCATCTTCGTCCTCCTCTTCAGAATCACTGGTCTCAGAACCAGATATCTCTTCCCCTGGAACAGAAGAGTGTGCTTTGTGATGTGCTCTCCTTCCTCTCTAATCAGCTTGTTACTGTGACAGCAGCATTTGTCCAAACCCAGCGGTGCCTGACACCAGCTTAGGAGCTCCTGCACAGGTCCTTAACTGCTGAGCAGACAGACAGTTTGCAGGAGCTCAGGAAACTTAAGGACAATCAAGATAAGCAATTGAATGCTGTGATGTCAGTGTGTACATGTTAGAGCTCCAGAGGCTGCTTTTCATGGGAAATAAAGCATCTTTCCACAGCTGAAGCTACAAAGTTTTCCTAGAAGCATCCCACCACACCTCCTCTTCCATCTCAGACTTCTCTCTCAGATGAAAGAAGCATTACTATTTCCTGCTTCTCCTGAATGCAGCAGATGCCAAACAGCAAGTCATGTTGGAGTTACTGCTACAGCTGTTCTGTGCTGTATCTCTGGAGAGAGATGTGCCAAGGCCACTGTTTAGTAAACATCCCTCTGGCAGGGTCACTCCACGTTGGTGGACTCACAGTGACACAAGCTACATGAACTTACAAGGCTTAAAGAAGTTTCTTGTTTCTCTGCATGGTGTTTGAAAGTCAGCCCCAGTTTTAGCTCCACAAATTCAGTTCAGTTTTCCTCCTGCTAAGTGCATTCCCCTTCCTCCTCAATCCTCCTCATTCAGGGGAAACGTCTGACCTGCTGTTACAGCCCACTTTAACTGCCTAAACCATGGCAGCTGTGCCAGAGCCCTCCCCCGGCCACCAGGGAGCCTGGGCACCCGACCCTGAGGCCACCACTCACCCGAGTGCCAAGTGCCACCTAGTGGGCAGAGCCAGCCCCCAGCAGCACCCACAGACACCCCTCGTGGCACCCAGCAGGGCAAACAAACCAGGACACTGCGCTGCCCCCGTGGCCACCCTGGCGTGGCACGTTCCTGGTGACACCAGCACTGGTGCCCAGAGGGACACGAGGGGGAGGGACAGCCTCACCTTCCTCCAGTTTTTTCTTAAGCTCTTCAATTTCCTTCTGGAACTGGCGGAGCATTGCATCCTTGGGATCCTCGTTAATCCTGGCCTTGTTCTTGATGTTCTTGGCTCTGTTTGCATACCTGAGGGTGCTGATGGTCTCGTCGTAGTTGTAGTCTGCCGGGCCGATGTTTGCACACTGCAACAGAGACAGGGTTATCGGGGACATGTCAGAGCCCAGAACACTGCAGGGACCCCCCAGCCCTGAGTCTCACACTGCTGCTCTCTCCCAAGCTTTCCTGCTGCTTCTACACCAAAGCTGCTCTTGGCTACCCAAGCACAGCTTCTGTTCAATCTCACACACGTGGATATACACACACACCTCTGCACAGAGCCAAAGGGAAGAGATGCAGAGAGAAGATTCTCCAGGCTGCAAACAGCTCAGAAATAGAGAGGTAAATGCCAAACTATCTCAGCTCACCATCATGGTTTTGGAGTTGCCCCCCAGGGAGTCCTGGAGGAGCCGTGTCAGTTTGGAATTCCGGTAGGGCACGTGGGTGCTCTTGCCATCCACCAGCGCAGAGATGACATTCCCCAGGGTGGAAAGGGACAGGTTGATCTTGGTGGCTTCCTTCAGTCGCTGCCCTGTGGCTCCAGTTTTTGTCTGTCTTTCAGAGCCCTGCAAAGGGAACAGGAAGTTAAAACAAATCCCCTAATACATCTCCTCCTTCCAGACAGAATCAGCTACACCTGAAGTCTTGCTGGCAGCCATGTCAGTAACCACCTCATCTATTATTGGAGAACCTGGGTGAGTACCTCAGACATTGCTAGAGAGACAAGTCAAGCACTCAGTGCCAGCAAATTCTGGATTACTCAAAGTAATGCAGCTGGAGAAAATGGAGATTTTGTCCCCATGAACAAAAATGTTATGGGAAATCAGTTAGCAGTTAAAAGGCACCTTAGCTGGAGCTGCTAAACACCATCTACATATCTTCCTATCAGCAGATCAAGGGAGAGCAGCAACACCGCAATTATTTTGAAGAGTTTCAGAGAGCATCCTATGCACACACATCATATAAATAAGTTAAGATGCAGACAATGAATGCTGTTTGTTAGTCTTGCTTTTCCTACATCTTCTCCAAGAAGAAGTACCTCAGTGTCACTCTGGGGCTAAAGGCTTGTTTTATCAGCACAATTACATCGGTTCCAAGTGAGACAGGGAGGGAACCTGCAAGTGATGAACTGCACGGTCAAAGCCCTCTGGAAAAACCTCCCCAAGCCAACCCAAACCTCTCTCCCAGCCCCTGCTGGCGGCACTCACAGCCAGATCCACGAGGTGCAGCTTGCCCATGCGCACGTGCATGTTGCCATCCACGCCCTTCTCGCTGCACTCGATGGTGATGGTGAAGATGGCGTGGGAGCGAGAGCTGTGCTCGTTCATGTTTGTGGCACCAACAGAACCTGGGCACACAGAAAAAGCAGTGATGCCTTCAGAATTAATCACATGCTCCTCTAACTCTTCCTGCTCTCAGAGGAAACCTATCCCCACCTCTTTACCCCGCCCTGTATTTCAGAAGAGGGCAGAGGGATGCTCAGACTCAGTAGTAAAGTGTATTCTTGGGCACTGAAGTTGCAGTACAATCCAGCCTGGACTAGTAGAAGAGTTACAGCCTGCTGCAGCTCTAAGCCAACCAGACTCTCAAGAGCAGCAGTTGTCCTCATCTGTTTCTTTAGGGCTAAAAAGACCAGTAATCTAAGGTATCCACAGCTGATCCTTGAAAACAGCTGTATTTTCAGAAATAAGAGTACAGGAATCCACGCCAAGAGCAACAGTAGCCAGAACTTTAAGTCAATAAATAATCTGAGCTTAACTAAGAAGTGTTCCAGAAGGCATAAACCACCTCCCACTCAAAGCACAGGGCTACGTTCATCCTGATCAGAACTGAAGAGGGAAAAGGAACAAGAGACCCACTAGCAGTTCTGACAACACTGACTGCCCTCACTGCATCCTGCCTTCTCTGGTCCCCTGCTGGCACTGCCCAGTGTGGGAGGCACAGCCTTCTTTACCTGCCCCTGCACCAAAGGGGTTCGGGAGGAGAGCACCTTTCTGTTCTGCTCAGCTGAACAACCTTCCCAGCAACAGGACTAGGGTCTCTCCCTGTGGTCTGGAAAGCAGCCCTTTGCTCTGTCTGAGCTTTAACCTGCCCCCAGCAAGGCTACGTACGGTTCTTGTGGCCCAGAGTCATGATCCTGTCCATATCATCTGCATTGTTTACGACATAAGCTGAGAGGTCTTTGATATAAACTCCCACATCAGGTCTCTCTTTAACCTAAGAGAGAAACAGTCCAGACTGAGCATCCCTAAGAGACCCCCAGCAGCAATTCTCAGTGGTACTGTAACAGTGCAGGGATCCACCCCTCCAGGTTCTGGTTGGCACATCAAACGCTCCACGCAGAGCAGATAAGGAATAAACACTCATGCATGACAACATTCCATGGTTTTCCCCTGGGGACAAGACATGACTTCAAGTCTCGCTCTCCAATTCCTAGAACTGCTGAGGGGCCCGTGGGGCAGCACTGCAGGTACAAAACCCACTGGCTGGAACAGCCAGTTTCTCACTGTGCAGCTGACCAAGCAGAAGGGATTCAGAGAAGCCAGTAGTGACAGCCAGCTATTGCATCTTCAAGGAAAGAGGACTGCTGAGGAGCCCAACCTCCCGCTGCCCTTCACGTGCTGCTGTGGTCTCAAAAGCAGAACACAGCTCTGAGTCCAGCACACAGCACCTTCAGGAGAGCAGGCTCACCTCCAACCTCTGTGTCTGGTCCTTTCCCAGCAGGTCCCGCACCTCCTCATTGTAAATCTCCAGGTAAGAGACACGAACTAAGAACCTGAAGATGAACGGTTTGTTTAGTGAGAATCTGCTCAAGTTCCACAAACACAGTCACAGAGAGCAAAGAAAATGCAGTGAAATACCAACATAATCTCGCTGCCCCCCTCAAGAACTGCCAGAGTGGGAGCCTTTCAGCTCAGGTCTGAGGTACCATTTCAGTGTCATTGTCAAGGTCAGGCTCCTGCTGCACACAAAAAGGACAGAAGCAGTGAAGAGAAGCTGTTTACCTTGTGTCCCCCTCTGCCTTGGCAATGTGACCGAATATATGAGCAAAGGAATTGGGAATGATGCCTCTGAGCTCAGGAACTGCTCGGACCCCTTCCATGGTGAAAGTCTTGCCTGTTCCAGTCTGCCCATATGCAAAAATAGTACCTGGGGGATAAGATAAACGAACAAACTCTGAGAAATTGCTAACTGCAGTTTCATTTCATCCCTTCTTAGCCTGATAGCACTAAACACCTCTAGTGTTACAGAGCTGAAGTTTTCCACCCACTCCAGTAGCTGCTGTACAAGGCTGGGGCAACAAGCGCTGGGCAAACACAGCAAACAGGGCTGAGCAACTGTTCAATCCAGCCTGCAAGACTCCTAACAAAACATCAGCTGGTTTTAACTGTGCAGAGGTATTAAAGTCTGGAGTACCAGCACACTTAGGTTCAACATACAAACAAAGCAGGCAAGCCCAATTAATAACACGGTCAATTAGCAGAAGATAATTATGTACCAGCTGCAAACCCAACTATTGCTCCAAGCCACAGCAGAAAGGGTGTGAGGGTTCTACAGCACAGCCACAGCACAAGCCCAGCTCTGAACCTGCAGGTGCAGCTACAATTTGGACTAGAGAATCAGCCTTCACTGGAAGGCATCCAGAAATGTTACTGAGATCCCTGACTCTGGAACTCCAGAAATATAACAGTTCTTACTTTCAGCCTAGCACTGCTGAAAACTCCAGCTTTCATTGTCAAGCCATGACAGATTTGGAAAACTGAAAAGAACATTTTGGGTGGAAGGGACCTACTATGATCCCCTAGTCCAACTGCCCAACCAATCCAGGGCTGACCAAAAATTAGGCTTGTTGTTAAGGGCATTGTCCAAACGCCTCTCAAACACTGACAGGGCTTGGGGCATTGACCACCTCTCTAGGAAGCCTTTTTCAGTGTCTCAGTAAAGAAATGCTTCCCAAAGTCCAGTCCAAACCTCCTCAGGTACAGCTTTGAACCACTCATTTTTGAACCCCAAATTTTCATCAGCTGAAACCCTCATGTGTTCGCACAAGAGCTTATGAGGCATTTTACAAATGCTGAAGAACTTTGTAAACTGTTGTTGTTTGTAGCACACTGTTACAGAAGGCAGTAACCTGCTTTCCTTCATATAATACATTTCCATGCAAAACAGACACACACAAATCACGGCCGTACTCTTCGCATCTGTAGGAAGCAACAGACTGTCTGTGGGGTAGGCTAGAAGTGTTTAAGCAGTCATCTTAGTTCAAAACAGCCAAGTTCAGAGTTAGGAACGCAGCAGTTCTCTGCAGAGGTCTGTGTGCATACCTACTGCTGCAGGGCTGTGGTAGCTGCCTGGGTGCTGACACTGAGCAGGGAAGAGCCTCTGAGAACTCTGATAATAAGGTAAAGTGCAGATTTTTGCAAAGAGAAGATACAGGACAAAAACACAGAGCTAACTGACCCCAGCTGAGTCTTGTTCATCACCAGTCTCCCAATGTCAATGACTGCAGTGGGTACAACCACCAGAACAGCAAGTACCTCCACGCTATTTTAAGTTCACAGCCACAACAGAGACAACACAGGGCCACAACTCTCAGAAGGTGAAACTTCCTTAACAAGATCAGCTGGAACTCCATCAGTGCAAAGAACAGGAGATGGGATGGGATCCTTCACTTAAATCACAGGACTTACCATTGTATCCCTCTAGGACAGAGTCAATGATAGGTCTTGCAGTTAAATTATAGACATCCAGCTGTTTACTCTCTGGTCCAAACACTGTGTCAAATGTAAATGTCTTGGGAGGCTCGTTGGAGGAGTCTGTTTTATGCACAGTTATGGTCCCTCTCATCTCATCCACGTTCACAGCCATTTTGTAGCCCGTGGCTTTCTCGCGCTCGTTGAGGGGCCGGCACCGAACCACCACCTTGACATTGTCACAGCTCTCAGGCCTGTCCAGCTTCTCAGGCCTGTTGATCTGCAAGTGTTTAAAAACCAAAGAACACCCAGGCGAACACAGTGTGAACATAGAATCAGAGAAAGGCTTGGGTTGGAAGGGACCTTAAAGATAACCCACTGCACCCCCTGCCACGGGCAAGGACACCTCCCACCAGTCCAGGTTGCTCCAAGCTCCGTCCAACCTGGCCTTGGACACTGCCAGGGATCCAGGGGCAGCCACAGCTTCTCTGGGCAACCTGTGCCAGGGCCTCCCCACCCTCTCAGGGAACAATTTCTTCTCAGTATCTCATCTAACCCTGCCCTCTGTCAGGACAAAACCACTGTGTGTTTAAGCACAGATGCTGTGGAATCAGCTCAAGCAGGTGCACACATCTCTTCATGACTGTGAACTTGGGGAGTTAAAACCAGAACTGGTTTATAATTAAAGCTGAGAGAATAACACACATTTAATCATTCACTGCAATCTGTTTGTTTGCCAACAGGGAAACTTAATGAGTAAACCTTGAGCATTTCACATCCATTGTGGTCTAAGAGTTTTTTCAGGAAACACTTTCCTACTTGCAAGCAACCTGCAAGCAGTTTGCTGGAAGTGTGTGCAGCCATGACATTCTTTCACATTAATACTGACCACACTCTCAGACCTCACAGATAACATCAGTGGATAGCAGGGAGCACTGGCTGAACGGAATTCATTTCAGTTACAACCCTCACTGTACTTGCTGAAATTTAATCGTTTAGAAAATCTGAACGTTGTACTATAAAACCTCACAAACCTTTCCTTTCGTGCAGTTACCAAAACAAATCTCGAAGCAGGGCTGATGAGTCTGCTGTCACATGCTCTCCCGATCAAACAAACCTAAAGCCCATTTGCTCCAGTTCAGCCTCAGACACTCCCCTCGGCGCGAGGTGCTGCGGCTGGGCAGGTACCTGCGGCTGGAGCAGCGCTGCTGGACCTCAACGGCAAACAAAAGCCTCTCCCCACGCCCGGCTCCCCTCAGGCCTCGGCAGAAGCTGCTGCCGATCGCGGGGAGCGGCTCAGCCCCACCCGGGCGGGGCAGGGACCGTACACGAGGTGCGGCCAAAACCAGGGGCGGGATTCGGGAGCCGCCACGAGCCCGCCCGGACGGGGACGAGACCCTGCGGAGAGGCAGAACCCCCCAGCCCCGGCTGCCACGGAGCCTCGCCTGGCCCACAGCCCCTCACCGCCCGCAGCCCGTCACCGCCCCTGGCCCGCTCGGCCTGACAGGCGCCCGCAGGGAGCGGCGGGGCCTGCGAGCCCCTCCCAGCCCACGCCGGGCGCGGCGGCTCCTGCCCGCGGCGGGCGAGGTGCGGGGCAGCCGCAGTGTGTGTGTGTGTCCCCTGTCCCCCATCCCCTGTCCCCCATCCCCCGCTCACCGGCATGATGGCGATGGCGGCACCGCCCGGGCGGCGGCACCGCGCACAATGACGGCACCGCGCATGCGCCGCCCCGCCCCGCGCCCAATCCGCGAGCCCTGCGGGGGCCCCGCCGCCAATGGCCGGCCAGGGGAGGCGGGGCCGCAGCGGGACCAGCCAATGGCGAGGCAGGAACGGCGGGGGCGGGCGGGGCGTCCTGTCACCATGGCAACGGCGGGGGGGCGGGCCCGGTCACCGCCCGGGCTCTGAGGGGATGATTGGGGTACGGGGGGGCTGCCCGGGCTCTGAAGGGGGCTCTGAGGGGATGATCGGGGAATGGAGGGGCTGAGCGGGCTCTGAGGATTATCGGGGTCCGGAGGAGCTGCCCGGGCTCTGAGCGCTCTGATTGTGGTTCACTGGGTCTGACTGGGCTCTGATGGGTTTCTGGGGATGCAGCTCCAACCTGTTCCCCACACAGAAAATCCATCACCTCCTTTTCCTGACTGGAACGTTCTGAATTACTCCTGAGACAGAGAGAATGCAGAGTGCCTTAAATATAAACAAGACAGACCAAGTGGCACAGAAATCAATTAGCCCTGTGAATAGAAGAGGCACGTGGCCAGGTTGTCTGCCATTTAGTGTAAATTCTCCCGGGATGCTGCTGGGATCCTCCACACCTGCTGTTCTACTCACCCTGCTGCATGTCCACATCCCACTGTCCACGTGCCGAACATTTACAGGAACTAGACTAAGTTACTCCAACAATCTGGCCTTTTCCTTTCATAATATATGTCAATAGGAGTCAAAGACATAATTTTGTGCAACGGGAAAGGTCCATGAATAGTTTCCCTGGCTCCTCAGTCCTACCTGTCTCGCTCCCTCACGTGTTTCTGCACACCCAAATCCTGTTGGCAGGGCCTTGCTCCAGTCCCACTCCTCCCCTGGCTGCCTTGGCTATGGACAACCAGGGCCTGGGATCCCAGGGCAAGGCCAGGAATGCCCAGCACGGAGCCCCAGGCACAGGCACAGAGCGAGGGCTGTGTGTCAGCTGTGCTGTGTTTTTGCCAGAGGGAGGGAGGTGGGAGCAGGAATGTGGACAGGACTGATCTGGGGCTTCCAGAACTCCCCCACCAAACTGACCGGTGTGTCACAGGGCCGGGAATGACAGGACAGAGCCATTCCCTCACCCCAGGGAGTGTCTCCAGGTGAGTCAGGAAGTGCAAGGACCAGGTGTTCAGTCACTTTGCAGTTTATTCACTGCCATGGTGCTACCCAGAGCTGTGCTGAGCGCTGAGATCTGCGGACTAATGGACTCATTTCACAGCAGAAAATGTAGAACTGGGGGGCTGGGGAGAGAGCGGGGAGAGCCTGTGTGGTGAGATGGACCCAGCTGGGCTCTGTGTACGATGGAAACAGTTTTGCTCAGCTGCTCCTTTAAGTGCGGCAGAACCATGGCAGTGTGCACAGAAGTGCCCTGCCAGCCTTGTCTCTTTTATGCAATAGTCTAGAAATGCTACTTCTTACCAAGTATTTTTACTACCAGATGAAGCAAATTAGGGTAATTTGATGAGTAATATTAAACAAATTGGTGGTTGATGTTGTCTGTTCTGTGCAGCTGCTTGGCCCTTTCAGTTCCCCCACAGCAGGGTTCAGGTGTGTGCCAGGGTCCTGCGTGAATTGTCCTGGCAGCCAGAGGCCTTCTCACCTCAAAGCAGCTTCCAATAAGATAGAAGAAAGAAAAACCCAGTACATTTCTCCAGGTGCCTTGGGGGAGTCACAAACCTGGCTCAGCAAATTCAAGGGCTGCTAAAACTCTTGCAGAGTAAATCAAAGGCTGCTCCTGAGTCCAGTTTCTCTGTCGAGGCTGCCTCAGTGGAACAGGTGCTGCGTGGAGGCTGCAGCTTTCCCTGGGTGGGAATAGCAAGCACACTCAGCCCCTCGTTTGTAAGAGCTCATTTTGGGAGGGCTGGGTGCTTCCCTACTCACTGCCCCAGTACAGCCCAGTCCCAGGCCTGGGGCACCCAGCTGGGCATGGCTGGGTGGGCAACACAAACCAGTGGGTTAAACAGCACCAAAATGTGCCCTTGCCCTCCCTCTGCAGACACAGCCCACAGTTCCCTTCAATTCAAGCCTCCAGACATCCAAAATGCTAATTAGAGCACTTAAAAAGATTTGAGTCTTCCTTTGGAGATATGTTAACAAAATCATCAAAGCACTAACCGTATTTTTCTTCTAACTTTTCCTCCCCCTCAGGGCACAGATATCTCTCTGTCGAATTACAAGACTGCACTTCTCTGGATTGCAGAAATAAGCTCCAAGTTCCAGTTTTACCCTGAAGAGTTTGCCCTGGTGACCAGCGTCTTCAGCAGGCTGTTGGCATCAGTGAAGGCAGAGATCTCTCAGCTTTTCCCTGGCCAGATTACTGCCTGGGAATGTAAGGAGCCTGTAATCAGTTTACACACAAAGCAGGGACTATGTTTGGCAGCAGATTTAGGGAGCAGTCAGGGTCGCTGCTGGGGAAGGCTTTAAGCACACACATATATAATGTATGAACGTGAGTGTTTGATGAGGTTCCACTGATGCCCAGGCCTCGTTAAGAGTGTTTATACTGTGATAAGTCCAAAGAACTCATTATCATCTGGCTGTCTCTGCTAAACACAAAGCATTTATGTTATTGCTTTTAATATTTTAGTTTTGAAAGCACAATTTTTAAACAAAATTTGCAACAGCAAAGTTAGGAGCTGAGCTGAGCCTTGCAGCTCTCAATCCCATTTAGATTGATACTGGGACATAGAATCACAGAATCATTAAGGTTGGAGAAAGCCTCCAAGATCATCAAGTCCAACCTTTGACCAATCACCACCTTGTCAACTAAACCAGAGTGCCACGTCCAGTCATTCAGTCAACACTTCCCTGGGCTTAACAACCCCTTCCATGAAGAAATTCTTCCTGAAGGCCAATCTTAACCAGTATCTGAGGTGAGGAGTAACGTTGCATTGTAAATATTGTGGCATTGCATAGTCTAAAAATTGGGGGATACATGAATAAAGGTTGAACCAATAAGAAGATTTGTTCTGCTTCACTTTTGAATTTCCTTGTTCTATTTCCAGATTCTGTAGCTAAACTAATTCAGAAGCAACTGTAACTCAGATGAAAGTTTGAAACTTGTGCACGTGTCATAGAATGCAATTATTTCCCACAAGACTCTTACCTTCTTTACTTGATGTTTTCTTCTCCCTTCAGGCCCAATTAAAATATCTGCAGTGCATTGCAATTTCTTGCCTTGTCCTTGCAGCAAAACCAGTGAAGAGGGTGAGGTCTGTATGTTCCATTTTCAGCACACTGGAAGTTGTTCATGTTTCCAGGTCTTTCAACAACTTGGACATAATGAAGAAGTGTTAATTTGTTTACCCCAAGTAACAAGGGCTCTTGGATGAGCATTCTGCTTTGCACACACTTGTTGAACCTCGTCAGATCCCTTCATAGGACAGAGAAGCACACACAGCACTGTGTCGGACGTTGGCCTCTTTATTTTTTTAAATTTTTAAACTTTATACAGTAATCCCATCGGTGCAGACACTGGTGGTACAGAGCACTGTAAATGCTCTCCAGCTGAGATCTTGAGAATGGAAAGAATTATCCTGGATAAGCTTCAGTGGGATCTTTACACAGCAACACCAATGGATTTCTTAAACATTGTAAGCACTACGTTTTGCAATTTTTTTCTTTAAAGAAACAACTCCTTATCAAATAAGACTAGAAAACACACCCACACACACACACACACACACACACACATCCTTCCCAAGATGCTCTGCAAACTACCTGTTCCTACCTATCTGCAAGTCTTTTAAAGAATATTACAGTAACTTTCTTTTTAAATTAATTTTTAAAATTTTCTACTATTTAAAACCTTTCCTTTTGCTGAAAAAAATTTACTCCTGTCTTCAAAGGGCAACTGAAATGGATATTAAAAAGATTCTCATAATGCACAACTCTATGCCATTTTTATTTTTTTAAGTACACGCTGCAAAAATATTTCTAACTATTTCCCTTCTATTAATACTGTACATAGAAAGCTGTCAGAGTGTTGCTACATTTCACACACAGGTTTTTTTCTTAAATCACTTTCCTTTTCATCCCACTAATTATTCATTTATGCAATGAGACCACCCCGACCTGGCACTTAGTTCACATTGCAGTTACTAAACATTTGATAGAAACAATTAAACTTTGTCTTCAAGAAACGGTCATGTGCTAGTAAGGCAAAATTCATGTGATACAAACACATCCTGGATCCCTTTTTTAAGGTTATGTGCAAATATCGAGCCATTTTAGGCTGCTGATTGTGAGAACTGCCTTTTGCAGGTGCTTGTTTCCTCGGGAAGTTCAGAGTGCAGTTGGTATTACTGGTGCTGCTGGATCTGGAGCTGCTGGCCTGAACTGAGTCTCCCGGGCAGCAATCTGGACAACGCAGAAACTTCAGAGATTGTTAGGAAACACAGACCTTGTACATTCATTATCAGTTCAATGATTGGCAAGTACAAACACAAAACACAAAGAAAAAGGTGGGGGAAGCCTTCAGGTTTCCTGGTATGAGATGAAATTCATCTGTACTTCTGGGTGATGACATATGAAAACATAGAAACTTCACTGACCTCTGCTTTTCTCTGTATATATATTTATATATATATATGTACACTTTCTCTTCTCTCCAGTTCCATGCCATGGGGATGTCCAACAAGCCCCATCCCACCCAGCTGCCTCAGAGGAATCCTTCCCTCCACGTGGCGCTCTTGACCAGGCAGCTGCAGCACTGGATGGCCTCCCACCAGCTCGTGCAGTTGAGGGGCTCCACGCTGGTCTTGGTGATCATCACCTTGGAGCTGGAGAGGCAGGCTCCTGGCTGGCTTTGTGTTACTACTGATCTGCTAAAGAAAGCACAGGTAGGAAGCAAAATGGCCTTTGGTCACAAATCCTGAGGGCGGGACATGGTAAATTAATAAAGCCATGTGTATTAACAGCCAGCACTGCACTTCAGCAGCTCCTGAGACTCCCGTCCATGTTCTGCCTTTGCTGCAGGCCCTGCTGGTGCTGACAAAAGGCAAC